GACGCATGTTCAGTGTCTTTGTACTACTCTTAAGTTTTTCTCTCAAAATGAAATTTTATTTCAACTTTGGATTTCTTAATTGAATGAAGTTGCGACAGAAATAATTGTTTCTCCGGACATACACATAGTGGAATTTTATAGTAGATCAAGAAACTGAAAAACTAAACTCAAAAAGAGAGGTGAACCGTAACTTATGAATTTATGCAAAAGAAAAATCGTAATCGAGTGATATGTATTCAGGAGTAAATGATCAAATAGAGTAATACAGAGAAGCTTCTTGATTAGTCATGAAAAATGTGCACTTGTCGACTACGCATTGCGCTGAGTGATCGTCGAAAGATCGTCTATAATCGCCAAAGACATGACAGGTTTGTGCCATCCATCTCGACTCTCGACGCCATGAAATCCACCTACCACATAGCATGTCTTCTTCTCATTTGTATGCTCGCTCTCGAATTCCACTGGAGCGAGAACTGAGTTTAACCGCACTTTGCCAATGTTGCACGATTTTCGATCATGAAGTCCGTAGCAGAGTTGGAGAAACCAGCCCGTGAGGTTCGTATAGCTTCTATAATATAAAAGAATCATAGAGTATATGGAAGTATATAATAAGAAAATCACATTTGTCTAGGCATTTTTTGTGAAAATCTCGTTGTCACCAGGAATTAATGTCTGACTAAACTCTTTTTCTATCATAGCTTTATGAATATTTTCAAACCCTATATTTGACAAGTAGGCGAGGAAAATATCGAAGTCTATATCAATTTATTTACCTTAATCACAAAAAAATCACTCACCCTGAACCACTTCCAACATGTTCAACGTTGAAGATTTTGTCCCAAAATCGGTTATCCACTTTGCCTTGATAAGTCCTGATGAATTGATCGAGTATGGGCAAGAGACCCTCAACGTAGGTCGAGAAAATGTCCTTAGGCGTTGTAAAACTCTGTAGTTGTTTTACTTTCTGTCTAAGCAGTAACCAATCGTCCAGTGTGCCGAGAAAATGTACCTTGCGAATACCACACGTTGCCATCATAAGCCCATAATCAAAATAGTTTTTGAAGGTGTTCATGATCGTAGCACAGGACAAGAGTGATTCGACTTTGCCCGTACTCGAATAATTAGCCGTCAAGAGAGAAACAATGTCGTTCTTAACATTCTCACCAATTTTGATGCGCATGCTTTCAAGAAATGCGTTCCAGCTATCGAAGAAAAAGATAAAGTGATTATCACTCTTTTGCAGTCACATGATAATGTTTTATATTTTCTTCCATCCAATGAAACAACTTCCAAGTCGCAGAATAAAGTTCCAGAGAATCAATACATGTCTGATGACTACTATTTTTAACATGATTACGAAAGAATGGTCGTGAAAGATTTAAGAGTGTTTAAGCATTTATGATGCGAGTCACCGCACAGAAAATTTTCAGTTGAGTGAAATCTTATTCTTGGTTTTAATAGCATTACCTAAATTGAAAAGGGATTCATCGATCACTTACTCCGGTTCTGATTGTATCTGTTCGATGGTCAATTTAATTTTTCCTTCGTGGTTGACAAAGAGATGTCGCAGTTTCTCAGCATTGGCATTCACGTATTTTGCAAAGTAAATCGTTATCATCAACCACAGATCACTAACAGATACGAAACAAAGGCATCATATTAAGTCATATATGTCACCTCTGCGTTTGAGAGCGATTCACTTACTCTGGTGAGAGGACAATGTCTTCATGTGAGTTGTAGGCATTGAGATAAGCAGTGAACAGCGCATGACCGCCAGCAGATGATGTGCCTAGAAGTATTAACGAAAATACAGATGATCTCAAGGCTGTAAGCTAGTGGTCTTCAAGCCTTGTCAGCCCGTCTGTTGTTGGATTCCTCTCACAGTTCTTGAAATTGAGTTTATTTGGACAGAGAAACGATTGAGCAGTTATATAGAACTTTTTATGTCAAAGAATGGGCAGAAAACGACAACTCGAGTTCAACAAAAAGAAACCAAGGTTAGTTTGAGACCGATTAGATAAGTAGTTAGTCATTGATAAAAAAAAAGGAGAGACAATGCTCAGATAAACTCCGTCTCATTTGAATTGCAGTTAGGAAAATTCTTTTCACTCCGAAGTTCATGTATTCGAAACTCGCGATCATTAAAGAAATATTCAGCAATATTTCTTAAACTGAATTCAAGTTAATATTTGAAAAAAAATCGATAGCGTCGCTCAATTCGTTAAATTGCTTTGGGAGAGTTTAACACTCAATAAAGAACTTACACGGGCCATTCGAAATCATATGTTGCATCTTGAATCGGCTAGGCTGAATGTCTGGATTCCACCTACCACCAGCGATATCAGCGATGAGTTCATTGATCCAGTAGTCCGCCTGAGGTAGATCTACGGACTGACCAGCATCATACTGTTTCTTAACCGTTGGAAGATCACCGCGGATGACGACTGTGTGAAATCGTTCGTCCGAAGCAGAAGTAATGGCGGCATTGGGGGTGGACGACAGAGGGCTGTGCTCCCCGAACATCTGTTTGAGCCCTCCCAGAATTTTGTTGTACATTTTGAAGAATGATGATCTTCTCTACAAGAGATGGTGCAACATAAGGCATTTTACTTTGCAGCGATTTTTGTTCATTTATCTATTCGTGATTCACACAATGCAGCCCGGAATCGCCCTCTTTTCTTGCAGGTAAAAAGCAATCTCTAAACTCTAAAAATGAATCCTGGTAAACATTGACTTACCGAATCCTTTTCATTCCTTCTTCTCACAGAAAATATGTAATGATGAGCAACAAAGAAGATCAGATATGATTATTTCTTCTCCATCAACATCATCATCTAAATCTTAAAATCTTCTTTTTCTTTTTTATCTTTTGCCCATCAAGCTATCGCAT